ACCTCTGTCAGCGTCAAGTCTGATGTTGACACTCTACTTACTATATGCCAGGTTCTGTGCCCAACACTTCCTCTCCTCCATCTCACCTAATCTTCCAACTTTCTCAGGAGCCAGATGCTGTCACCCCCAACACTGGGAGTGACTCAGTGGGCTGAGTCCTGGGGTCTCCCAAGGCCACCTCCTGAATTCTTCTAGGAATGAAGAGTCCTTCCCCTGCACTGTCACCCCAGCTTAGAGGGATGGTAGGTTGTCCAATCTGACCCCCCAACGGTCCTGGGCAATTTGAAGTCCCAGGGCACCTGGGAGAACGTGGGAAGTAACACCCAAGAGGCCACAAGAGCCTATCTCAGGGTCCGGCTCTGTGTTTGCTGACTGCATCAGTGAAGCACCTCCTGTCCCTGCCTTCTGGGAGCCCCCTCGGCATGGGACCACAGAAAATGAGTCAAAGGGATGAATAAGCTTAGACTGATTTTACAGAAACAACATTTGGTCAAAGCTGGAGTACTATAAAAACTAGCCCAAACAACTGGAGGGTCCTGGGTGGTCTCTGAACTCTGAGGGATATAACTACATGTAATGGGGTGAAATTGAGCAAAGGAAAATGCTCTCACAGGAAAGCTGATTATATGGTGCCACTGGGTCCCAAGGAAGTGGTAAAATCTCTTTGCTGAAGTTAATTTTGACTGCTTCAGGGGAAGTATTCATCAGGCACAGAGGGGAGGTGGGGGCTACCCCTGGGGGGTATGTGGCTTCCTCTAACCCATAGGGCCTCTGGGAGGCAGCAGGGCCTTCTGCATGAAAGAACCCTAGTTTAGGACCAGGGTTGGGAAGTTTGATCTGAAAAAGCATTTTGAGTAGATTGTATGGGAACCTTTAGTATTTCCTGAGCTTATGATCAGGACATAGGAATCAGTTTGTTTCTTGTCTCTGAGAACAACCTAGAGGCATCTCAGTGTAGATGGGGAGACAGCAAGGCTCTGGAGGCTGGTGGACCCCCAAAGTCGGCTCAGAAACTCAGATGGAGTTTGTATTTGGAATTCCTCTTATGTGGATCAGAGTCTCTTGGGGTTCCCGTCAGAGGTTTCTGGTCAGGTTTGGGGCAAGGACAGGGGACAATGGCAAAGAAATATCCCCTTTTCAGTAAGCATGTGGGGGTATGTGGTAGAGGGGATTTTTTTTTTTCTTTTTCCCAACTTGTTCAAGAAAACAAAGGACTTGAAATGACAGCTCTCAGGCCAAACACAGTCACAGACATGTTTTGCTTGGCCCACACTGGGTTTTCAGAAAACTCTGAGCCAACATTAAAAAACCGGGTGATTTCACATAAATATCTGCATTTTGGAATGTCCTAACAATTCAGGAGGCCTAGGCATTCCAGTCCATACTCCAGTGTGGCAGCCGCCAGGGCCACCCCTTCGATTTGAGGCCATTATTCTCCAGCCAGCCTCAGTCCCCACCAGGGGGGCCTTCTGGATTGCCATTTGTTCTCTTCTGGACTTTGGATTTTGCCACTCTTAAGATAAAGTCATCTTTTATTTCAGGAAGCAAGCATGGGAATTTGAAAATTAAAGCAATTGCTTCACAGCACAAATAAATTGTACAGCAGACCAAAGGCTGTAAACCTGAGAGGAATGCCTCACTGGAGTCTATGTGGGGATGGAAACAAATAATTCCCTGTTTTAGCTTGGGTTTCCTAGAAGCAGAGCCGAAGCCAAAGATTCTTGTGCAAGGGATCTGTTTGCTGGTTGTCTCAGGAGAGGGGGCTAGGGAAGCAGGCCCAGGGAAGGAACCTGGCCCCAGAGCACTCAGGAGCGGGATTGCACAGCAGCACTGGTCCCAATGAGGCAGAGGGTGCCCTTTCCCACTCCCGTGTCGGTCGCTAGGGAGATGGATGGTGGATGAACACCCAGGCGCAGCGGTTGGCGTTCAGGTTGAGAAGGCTGTAAGCTGTTATTGGATGCTGCTGGGGTGGGTGGGCATGCTGGCTTGATGAAAGGGATAGAAATTAATATATTTTCTACCACCAGTTATAGAATTCCTACTATAGGGGAATTAACAAATATAGGAAAGGTTAAGGAAAAATGATTACTTATCCCACAACTTAGAGATAATCATTGTTCCTTTTTATATACTGAATTATCCTTTCCTCTTTCCTTTAACTCTGCATGAAAGTTACTTGGGTCCTCATCAATTTGAACTGGGGGAATCCAATACCCTTCTCAGTATTCCTGAGCATTCTGTGTGCACAGTGGAAAGCAGGGAGCTAAATGGCCAAAGGCCACCCTCCTCTGCTGGGCTCCGAAATCCATCATGGTGGTTGTGCTGAGGCTGAGGCGGCTTCCAGGACTCTGCAGGGCAGGCCTGTCTGGAGAGAGCCTGATAACTGACTGGCTTGAAGACGCCCCTAGGGCCTTGCCCAGTCTCTCTGGGAATGCTCCCATCCAGCTCTCCTTCCCTCTCTCCTTCTCCCTAACTCGACCATCTTGCCTCTGCTGGCTCTCCCAGACGCCTCCAGCTCAATTTTTTCTCTGGGCATTTCCTAACAAAATCCTTGCATGTTTCATCCTGTCTCGGCATCTGCTTCTCAGACCCACACCAACACAGGTACTTATGTCCTCTTAAGGGTAACTGCTGCTCCCTCCACAATTTGTGGTTGTCTCTGGCCATCTTGGTTTTGGCCCAGCTGGAGTATTCTGCAGGCATGGGCTGGAATGTCCAAAGGGAGGAAAGAAAGCAGAGAGAGAGGCCCCAAGGGTTAATTTGGCTGCTTGACAACTTTCCGGGGGCCTTCTTGTTTTTAGGATTCCTCTCTGAAGTGCTGCGTCCTGGCCTCACTTGGAAGCCCACCCAAGAGGCTAAGGAAGGGCAGGGCCAGGAAACAGAGGCTGCACCCCACAACCTGTCAGATTGGGGAGGCTCTAGCAGGTCTTGACCCTGACCCTGCTGATCTTACCTCTTCTATCATGCTTGAGCTCCTCGTTCTCCATCTTGTAAGTTAAGACTTGATGTCAAGGTCACTTTCTTATTCTCTGTACCCCATAGTGAGCTCCTCACCCAGCTTTCTGATTTTGGCATTAATGTTTTGGTTTCCTTTTAGAGTAGATGCTGTCCATGCCCCACCCACTTCCCCTTGACATCCATCTCCATGCACCAAGGCTGCACACAGTAGGCACCTATGAAAGCTTTTTCTAGTCATGGGAGATGCTCAGGGCCAACCAGAAGTGCTATGAAGTTGATGTCCCAGAAGTCAGACAAGGCATTGGATAAATGCCCTAGCTTCTGGCCTCTTGCTTGGGATAACTCAGAAGGTGCCCTACACTGCCCCCAGGGGTCCCCCAAGGATTGCCTTCTGGAGTAGCTGGCTTAGACAAACCTTTTACTGCCTCCCCTACTGATTCCCCACTTTCCTACCAGCATCTCTTGGAATTACCTCCCAAGTAAAACACTAGCACTGGAATCCTTCTCTTGAGGTCTGTTTCAGGACAGCAAAGCATGCTTTCTCCTCTTGCTCACTGCTACTCTGGGTGAGATCTTCGGATGAGTGAGAACCCTGAGGGACAGGAGTGAGAGAGGCATGTGAGGATCCGTGCTGTCTCGAAGGCCTGTGTTGTCATTGCTCAGAACACAGAAGAGGAACCCTCCTCTCTTAGAGGCCAAAGGGGCAGGAAGCTCAGCCTAAGGATCCAGATGCAGAGGTTGTAGAAAAGGACCTTGGATTGGACTTGGCCCATGGGATGATTTTGCTTGGCCTGTAATTTTTTTAACATGAATTAGTTGCCAAAACCAGAAGAGTTCACATAAAAGTCCACATTTGTGTCTTGTCTGGAAAAGTTGGGAGATGTAGCTGACGATGCTGGCCAGCATTTCCTCCTCATGTCAGTGAGCTGCCCTGAGTGGCTGCCGCCCCCTTCAGATGGGGCTTGTGTGTTCCAGGTTTCTACATCTACACTGGCCTGGTTTGGTTTGTTTCCCTGGCTTGATGGGATCCTGTGGCCATTTGGACTCATGGTCCAGTGCGGAGATTGCTGGGGCCCTAGACTTAGAGCAAAGTCATATGGCCCTGTGCTAAATCATATGGACAGAATGGCAATGTTGGGGCTGCTGAACTCTGGGCTTGCTATTAGGTGATACATGGACTATGATTATTTCAGGAGCCTAGTACCTTCTTAAGAGAACAAAGCTGAAAAGGCTGGCAGGCCCCTGAATATGAAGTTTCTAATCTAGTGTTTCTGAACCACCGGCCTTACTTGTTAAAAATACAAAGATATTTTAGGGCATCTGGATGGCTCAGTCAGTTAAGCCTCTGACTTTGGCTCAGGTCATGATCTCACCATTTGTGAGTTCGAGCCCCACATGAGGCTTGGCGCTGACAGTATAGAGCCTGCCTTGGGTTCTCTGTCTCCCCACCCCCCTCAAAAATATATAAATAAACATTTTTTAAAATACCAAGATTCTGGCCTCATCCCCAGGGATTTTGGTTTGACTGGTCTGGGATTGGCCCAGGGTACTAATATTTTTTAAGAGAGCTGGTGTGTGTCAGAGTAGGCTTGTACAGCTCAGGAGAGCCCATGGTGTGTGTATCTTTTGTTGAAATGGACTGTGGTAGAAATATTGACACCAAGGTGACCGGAGCTCACTCTGTGTCTCCAGGGAGTCTGTTGTTAGACATTAACCAGCACACCCCTGAAGAGCCCCATGTCATTCTAATGGGAACCGTGACATGAGCTGTGGATTTCGCAGGGATTAGTATTCCCAATGTAGGATTTGTTGCCCAGTTTGAAGCAAAAAATTCTACACATGGAGGTCCAATCTGGTGGGGACCTCATGGAATCTTTAATTCAACCTGAGAGTTGGAATTTCTGTTCTTCTGATCATTAACTGCGTGACCTTGGATAAAATGTCCTCACCCTCTGGGCCTCTGGCTTCCTGTAGATTCAGTAGGAATAGCACTATCTACCTCTCAGGAGGGTTGTAAGAATGAATGAAATCCCACAAACCGGTCATTGCCACAGTGTCTGCCATAGAGTCACACGCCATAAATGCCATTTGTCTCTCCCTTTGTCTGAAAAGATACAAAGTACACAGTGTAGTTTCTAGGGCCTTCTTCAAGGAGCTGTGTCATGGCTGACCGCCGATCTGAGTGGGTATTGGAGAAGATCCACTTGGAGGCCATCTGGGAAGAGCCACAATGGACCGGTTCTTCTGTGGCTGGGCCTGGGCCTCGGGGGTGGTGGAGTTAATTTTTCAGGTGGAAATGACTCTTCCAACTATGACTGCTTTCTTTGATACAAGAGAATCAAGGGCTGTTGTCCATTGAAAGAAAAAAAAAGAGCTACATTAATTACAGTCTCACCCATGACAATTTACTCTGACTAAAATCTCGCCACTCACCATTTCATATGATCTCTTTTAACCTGAAAAGCAGCTTTTTTTTTTGCTCCTTTTCTAACCCAGATCCAGTATTTAGCAGGGTAATGGGATTTATGATTTTGTTTACATCGGTCTCCGTGGCGATCCACCATAAAAGATCAGTTGCTTGGCAACTTGGCATTGTGGCGTTGCAATGGAGGGTGGAATTTTTTGTCCCTCTGAAGCGAGGGCTTAAGGAAGAATGAAAACTTCTGCTCATACTTCTCATGAATGCTTTTATTTTCAAGGTCAACCAAATGTTTTTTCAGGAAAGACTAATGCACTTTTCTTCAAGCGATACACCGTAAAATGTTTCTCCAAGATTATCCTGTCTCTGAGCTGAGGACAACCGGCTCTCGGTGCTTTTATTCTGTCCTTGCTGTTGCAAAATTAGGTTTAAGCAACTCTGGGACCATCATAATGAAGGGGGTCCTTCTCATTTACTGGCATTTTCTACACTCATTAGCAAATGCTTTTTTTTTTTTTTAATGAGCTGCTATACACTCTGAATCACTTCTCCTCATAGAAACCAGTTTCGTTGGGTTTGCAGTTGGTTTACCACGATCCCTTTGATGATGGGGTCACTCTTAGCAGAGGCCTGGAGGGCACAAAACAGGACCCCAATTTCCCTCTGAGGTTCCTATTGATGATAGGCGTTTCTATGAATGATCAAAGCGCCTGTTTTAAAACATGCAAATGCCCTTGCCTGACCTCTTTCTCAACACAGGTACACACGAAGGGGAGAAGTTGACTCATACAGATGTGCATGGACACAGCCTGTGCTGGATCGTGGAGGCTGTTGTGGAAATCACAGTGAAGGTAACAGGAGCTAACTAAACACCTGCCACGTGCTTTACATATAGTACCTTGAATGATTCTTGCAATGACACTCAGCCACATGTAATCTGCTGGAGGACCAGTCACAGCTGTCTCAGCAAGGGAGATCACCCCTCAAGTCAATAGCTCCCTCACTGACTCATGTTTCCCCTGCTGCTGTCTCCCACCACTAATTTCTCCCTACCATTGTTCTCTCAAGGTCCTCATGGTGAGTGATGCCAGCCGCCCAGGTCACAGGCACATCCTCACCCTGTGTCCACTTTAACCTAAAGACTCCTCTGCATCTTTGTGAAGTGTGTTAATAATCTACTTGGTTGTCACTGACAGTAAGTATGCCTCTAAAGCCCAATATATGAGTGAGGAGCAAGGGGACATTTGAGGCAGAGAGAGGCTAAAGGCAGAGAGCCTGAGCCACTGATGCTTCAGGGAAGGGATCCAAACCTATGATACCCAAGGCCATACGTCACCATAGTGTGGCTAGTTTGTGGGTGGTGGGTACTTCACCAGGCTTCCCTGGTGGTAGGTTGGGGTTCATTGAGGGTCCTGGTGCTTAGTAGGTGAATTCTCAGGCCTGCTGCGACCTTGAAGCACCTGTAACTCTGCCTGCAAAGTTCTCTCTGTCGAGGTCTGGAAAGTTCCTGGGTTGACTCTTAAACTGGATAACTTGAGACCCCCTGCAGATGCATCAGCTCATGATGTCATCAACAGAGTCATTTACTCTTCTCCGCTGCTGGTGTAAGGGGGCACCCTGTAAGGTAACTAGAATTAACTGCATTTTCCAGACATGGAAACTGGGGCTTCAGGAAGTTCAATAAGGTGCCCAAGAACACACAGCCAGTAAGTAAATGGGCTGGGTGAAAACATCCACACCTAAATCTGCCAATTCTAAAATACATGTCCTTTTGGCTGTTCTGCGCTGCCTTTCATGGAAGGCCCAGCCCCTGGGAATCTTCTATAGTAGGAATGGGCCAGTGAGAGAGGACTCGTGTGGAGTGGCTGTGATGTCCCCAAGCCCACCTCCTCAGTCCACTTGGCAGAGAGGCTGTCTGGGTTTTCACAGGTGTGGAAGTGCTAGGGGACACTCTTGAGCCACAGTGTGTATGTCCTTTCATTGGGATTTAACTGGGACCCAATGTGGATTAAGTAATGCTGATGAAGCAGTGTTGATGTGGCCTGAGTGAGAAAGAAAGAGCAGGAACACAGTGAGTGGATGAGCTAATGCTGCGCAATCTCACTGTACTTGGCTCTGCTTCAGGAAGTCCAGGTGGCATCCATGTTGACATGGATGGATCTCCAGGTTGCTTTTCTGAGTGAAAAAGACAAATCATAGAAGGGTAACATACCATTTATGTAAAGACATATAATTCACATAAAAATACTATAAAGTTTCTGAAAGCATATATGTGCACACACATGCATATATACATGTATGTACACAGGTATCTAGAAGGAGTTACTCTTAACTCTGGCTATCTCAGGGGGTGGGATTGGAGTAGGGGATGGGAGAATTATCCAAATACTTTTTAAAAGTAAGTGGATTTGTGTGTTATTTTTGCAATTAAACACAAATTTAAAATGATGGTTAAAAGAAAGCAGCCCATTGTTATGACCACTGCTTAAGGGGTGCAATTTTGACAATGCCACATTGACCACCCTCTGAACAACTGAGGCACAGAGGATTCTTGCTGCAGTTCTGTAACTTCAGTTTTTGACTTTGAAGCAAAACAGGTAGAAACTCTGCCATGGTCCCATTGCTCTTAGGGTTTGCACCAGCAGCTGCCTTAGTAAAGGAGGGAAGTCCTTCCCCAGGGTTGGTGGCCCCTTGATTTCTCACAGGCTTTTTAATCCTTCCATTCCCTCCTTTTTAAGTGTCTTTGATCAGTTTTGCTACAGGAAGAACAAATGGTGAAGGCTTAAATGGTCTTCCTTTCCATACACATCTGTTTCACTAGGGAGTAAAGAGGGCATTCTGGGGGAAAGGATGAGCACAGTCTGGGACACTGGCAATCAGGTTGTATGCAAGTGTTCCCCTAGCTGGCATGCAAGTCTGGCTTTTCCTCAGGCCACAGGGAGAAAGGAGACTTGTGGTCTGTAAACCAGTCAGATTCATTTTAACAGAGAATTCTTTCTTAACTCATTAGCCATGGAATTAAACAGGTACTCTCTTTTCCCTTCCCCTTAATCTCTGATAATCCCAGATAATCTCCCTACTGAAGATGACAGTCCTCAATGGGGTTGACTCATACATCACGAAGGTTTGGGCAGCCAGATGCCTGAAGTACAAGCTGTCTCACTCTGGGGCTAACTCCAGTGTCTGGGTGAGACTCTGGAGTTGGCAAGTTGACCTGGTGTTAGAGTACAATTTTCACCTCTCCCTTGACCTTGTAATAGAGCTCCAGTCTTCATAATGCAAGAGTCCAAACCACACAACCTAACAGATGGTGCTGGAGCCTGGATCTCATGTAACTTTCCTTCTTTCCTTCCTTCCTTCCTTCCTTCCTTCCTTCCTTCCTTCCTTCCTTCCTTCCTTCCTTCCTTCCTTCCTTCCTTCCATCTTTCCTTCCTACTGGAATGGCAAGACCAGCCAGACTTTCTTGTTGGGCATTGAAGCCACATAATGCAGCAAAAGATTTGGTGAAAAATGGACATGACTGGTGAGCTTGAGGAGGATTTGGAAGACCAAAGAGATGGTTCAACTGAAAATAAACTACACTTTATTTTGACATAATCAATGACAAGCCAGTCATGCCTGAGAACAATCTTTATTTCTTGTTGCCAACATACAGAAATTGTTTTCCTTGATGAGACAGTCTGGTATAGGGAAAAAAATATGGATTCTGGGGGTAGGAAAACCTGAGTTTGAATCCCACTTCTGCTGCTTATTAATGGTGTGATCTTGGACAAAACATTCATCTCTCTGAGCCTCAGTTTCCTCACCAGGAAAATCAGTCTTATAATGGCCATCTTACATGGCTGTAAATCTTAGAGAGACTATATGTTTAATCTTCCTGGCACATACTAGGTGCTCAATAAATGGTAGCTACTATTATCATATTTGTGCTGCATTAGTCAGGAAACATAGTTACAGTGACATCAACCTAATCACAATAAGACATAAGCAAAAGGGACTTTATTGGTTTATCTAACTGTAAAGTCTAGAATTTCAGGCATAACTTAATCTGGGTGCTCAAACTGATTTTCATGAGGAATCAGTCTTTCTTTGTCTCCATCTCTTAGGCTGCTTCCCTTTGAGCTGGCTTCATTCAAGTGACAGCAAAGATGGACATCAGTAGATACAGATTTATATTCTAACAGTTGAGTAACCTTGGGAGAAAAGAGCGTTTTTCAATTGCTTAGCATATTCTCATATTATTCTAATGTGAATGATTTAAGTATATCATCTTCCTACCCCTATGCCAATTATTGTGTCCAGAAGATTTGAATGTGTTTGTCATGCTGTGGTCGTGGGTCTGACCTTGCATCCAGGGACTGGTAAACTCACATGGACCAGAAGGAGGGTTCTGGTTGGGGGGATAATCCTAAGGAAAACTGGGTTGGGTGCCATTATCAGAAGAAGGGATAATAGGTATTGGGCAGGCACAAACAAAAGGCTCCTATTACAAGGGCATGATTTCAATGGATTCTCTAATTACGTTATTGACAGCCTTGGAAGATTAATGTTCCACAGAGGGTTGCCATTAATTGCTGTTTGTAAGTCTTCTGATTCTCTAGTTTTCAGAAATGCAAATGAGTGAACAAATTAACAAGTACATCTTAACGGATATTTAAGATTGTAATTTGAAAGTGTCCAGCACCCTAAATTCCCATGCAAATGACCATGCTGGAGTTTTATTTTGCTTTGTTTTGTTTTTAAGTAAGCTCTATGCCCAATGTGGGACTTAAACTCGTGACCCCAAGGTCAAGTGTTGTATGGGCTACCAACTAAGCCAGTCAGGTACCCGCATGCTGGAGTTTAAAAATCAATTGGAATGGACTTCTAGAAAATGTTTTTCAGCTCTTACCATCAATGTGGAGGGAACTTAGATACCCCAGACCCCCAATCTGTTTTAGGAATATTTCCCTGGGACATACGCCCATTCCTTCTGTCTTAATTGAGCACCTTTGAAAATGGAAGTTCTTAACATGCTTGAAGGTTCTCTTGCCATCATAGAACACTGGGTTTGATTTGCTCCACTTCCACAGTGATTGAATAGCATACCTCAATGACATAGAGACACAAACACTTACCCAAAGTCACAATAAGTGCACAAATGACTGATGCAAGACAGAATGTGAATGCTACTGAAAATATATAAAAGGCTATGGGGGATTCAGAAAAAGATAAATGCTTTGGAAGCCTAAAACCACTTCATGAAGGATAACAAATTGAGATGGACTTTGAAGGGTGTGGTCATGTTGGTGGAAGCTCTTCTTGGCATAAGGAACCTGGCCAGATGTCATGAAGGGTTGTTTCTTATTGGTTTCTGCCTATAAATAGTGATGCTATCAACTAGAAATGCCTGGGAGTGCTGGAGGGTACATAGCATGCCCGTGGGACAGTGAGGTGTGGGTTGGAGTGGGGGAGGGAGAGAGAGAGCAAGCAGACCTGTCATTATTGGGACTGAGGGTTTGGCACCTAGGATTTTGCAGATTCATTGATGAACTTAAAACACAAGAGTGGAATTAAGGCATGGGGAAGGGAGGAGTGGGGTCACTCAAGTGGTCTCCTATTAGGTCATTCAGGGCTTTCTAAAAAGGGAACCTCACAGGTATGGGGGGGTCTGGCTCTTTATCTGCTTGTTTCGATAGTAGCTGTGTCACACAGCTGGAAATACATTTATTTGAGATGTTGTCTTTGAAATGGGTACCTTCGCAATCAAAGCTTAATGTCAGCTCCTTACACTCCAAGGGTTCAAACCTCCAGAGGATTTCTTCAACACAGCCCAAAATAAGAACAACTGGATTTCAAAGAGTGCTGCTGTTGAGCTCACAAAATGCCCTCACAAGCATTTTCTATGGATCTGAGAGCAAAGTCTTCCAACCAGTAGACATATTCTCTCTGACTGCTGGGGTTGTGGTTCAGAGGTGTGACCTGCATTGTAATGAATACATTTCTCTGCCCCTAGAACTGGCCTTCCTGCTCTCCAATCTTTCCTTGAGCTCTATGTATAGGCTTTGCAGCTTGATCTGGGAGTCAGATCTCACTGCTACAGGTTTCAGAGCCTCAGCAAGTTTCAGAGCCTCAGCACTGCTAGCACATCAACATTATATATAAATGGATTAGAATTCATTAGTAAAGGCAGAAAAGACTAGACTCTCTCCTCCAAGTGGATGGGAACCCAGTGTCCAGCAAGGCTCAACCTGAGAGATGACTCTCTCAGAATCATACAGACAGGAATTTTCAACAGCCACTTAATTGCTTCCTTCACCCCATATTTTTATCATGGCCTGTTAATTTATGCTCTGGAAAGCCTTTTAAAGATTAAAACACTTTTTTTTTCTTTTGAATTTTACTTGGCTCCTGTTCTGCCTTATAATTTAGTTGAAAGGCAGGCCAGAGAGCAGGCTGTTTTGGAGGTCTAAGATTGGAACCGGGGTTCTGAGCTGGTGGATTTTAATTTACACCGCAGCATGTCTGCCCATTTCTGTCTTTGCTCAGCTTACTTTTGCTTTTTTAATGGTCACCTCTCCATTCCTGAAAAGAGCCCTTATTCTGGAAACAAACTCACAGAACAGGGACACTTTCTTGCTCTTGGATGCCTCTTTCAAAGGCACTGAGTTTGGTTCACATCTCTTGGATGCTACAAAGATGAGTTCCAGGAGAGAAAAAAAAAAAATCCCCGCCAGGTCAGTGGGTGATTCAGGGCCCATCAGAGTCTTCCCCAGGAATCATGTCCTGACATTGGCTGTTGGCAAGTATCTTCTCTTTCCTCCTTCACTGGCCAGGCTTTGGCTCTGGGAGGTGCTTCCCCTGATAGTGTTTACGTGAGGGAGAGATACTCATGGGGCAGGGGAAGTGTTTCTTGCTCACTATCCAGAAGGGAGCAGTGGAAGCTGTCTGGCATCTCATATAGTGCCTGAATTCATGGACCCTGTTGCCACCCAAAAAGGGAAGAACTGGTTTTAGAATCGACATTGTTGGCATGCCATTTGTGACTATGCCAACCTAAACACTTTTCATATAGAAACCCAAAACATTCTACCCGTGAAAGCCACCAATCTAAATAAGGATTAGAGACCTCCTGATATTTGGAGATGTTTAAAAAGAGAAGTGAAAGCAATGTGCTCAATGGGTGTTGGCCCCCGAAAGCTGTAGCTACAATAAGGTGCCAGGGTGACAGGATTACACCAGGAAGAGGAAAACATCTGTACCTGCAGCTTGGACGGGAAAACTGTCGAAGGCAAAGAGGAAGTCTGTGATTGGAGGAGTCTTAGCCAAGTGGGGAGTCTGAAATAAATAGCTTTGCTTGGCGGTTCTTTATATCTCCTGTTGGCAGAGTTTGGGAGTGGGGTGAGTGAGCTTGGCTGTGTGAGGAAGGGAAATCACCACAGATCACTCTTGGCTGCTTTGTCAGTGGCCACCTGTGAGTGGAGGGTCTTCCCTGGGAGAGGTTCCCTTTGATCCACTAGGAAATTTCTGCAAGAGTTGTTATAAGGAAAGATTATCAAGAAGGAAATCAAGAATACAGGATGCCAGGTTTTCTTTTGGCTTTCTGTGTGTGTGTGTGTGTGTGTGTGAGAGAGAGAGAGAGCAAGAGAGGAAAAGAGATGCATAGATTCCTCTTCAGCTAGTGAACAACTGTGATGGCTTTTCCCTGCCTTGCTCATGGGGACACACACTAAGATCACGAAGTGTCAGGCAGCTTACTAAAGTCTTTGGTGAGCTTCTGGGGTAAACTGTACTCTGGATTCAAAGTCGAGAAAGCACACCTTGCAGGCACAGAGAGCAAAGTGAACTTATCACTGTTTCAACAGCGGGGAGAACAGTTCAGATCCTTTCCTAGACCTCATTGCATTTGATTCCATGATACCTCCCAGGGTGGACAAAGCAGGCATTCTCCCATAGATGGGAAGACCAAGGTGCAGAGAGTTTGGGTCTCCAGCCAAGGGTCTGCCTACCCCTTGACAGAATCCTGTTCTCACCTCCTTTATAGCTTATGAGCTCATGAAACAGCTTTGCTGGGGAATTGGTTACTTGAAAGGTGGCATCTGGATAGCAGTTGTGATTCCAGTGGCCCGTCCTTAAGGCATCGAACTGACTTATCCATCTCTCAGGGAAGGGTAAGCTCAACAAACACAGAGCTTTGGCTTAAGGTGTGCTGGCTTTAAGGGAACAAACTCCAAACCTATAACTCTCACTGACGTCAGGCAGTCTTTCTCAGCTCTCCTGCCACATGACTCCTTACTCAGCCCTGATATCTTGGGGTCTGGAAGGAGTAGAGCCCAAGGCAGACAAGAACTCTCTGTCTGAATGGAAAAGTATACAGGATTAAAAAATATTTTTAATCTATTTTTGAGAGAAAGTGAGCAGGGGAGGGGCAGAAAGAGAGGGGGACAAAGGATCCGAAGTGGGCTCTGTGTTGACAGCAGGAAGTCTGAGGCAGGGATCCAACTCGTGAACCCATGACCTGAGATCATAACCTGAGCCGAAGTCAGATGCTTAACTGCTTAACTGACTGAGCCACCCAGGTGCCCTGATTTTTAAGTAAAAGTGTGGAGTGTCACATGGTGGTAGGTGCTATGAAGAAGAATAAGAACAGGGAAGAGGGAGGAGGGACAGGCAGAGCAGAAGTTGCATTTCAGAGCAGTGTGGCCAGAGAGGTACTGCCAAAGGGGTGCCATGTGGTAAAGATGTGAAGACGGTGAGGGACGAACTGGGCAGGTACCTGGGATAGAACATTCCAGGCAGGGGGACGTCACATTGCTGGGACTGTGGGGGGAGGCTGTGGAGGCAGAGTGGGGCAGTGATGCCCATTGTTCAGGGCACAGGGGCCATCTGAGAGGAGTCTGGTTTTTCCTCTCAGTGGAATGGGAAGCTGTTATGGGTTTGACCAGTGGAGTCCTATGCTCTATAATCACTGGTTGGTATTGAGAAAAGACACAGGAGAGGCAAGGACAGAAACAGGGAGACAGTCTGGGAGCCACGGCACTAATCAAAGGAGAGATCACAGTGACTGGGTTCTGATAGACTTGATGGGTTTTGTGTAGGGTGTGAGGGAAAGCAGAAGTCAAGAAGAACCTAAAATCTCTCCAGAGAATAGAAAGATGAAGTTGCCATGAACTAAGCCTGTGGAGGGACAGGGTATTTTTGGGA